TGAAAATTGGCAATTGATATAACCTCTATGCATACCTTCATTGTATTTCAACAATACGTTGTTATGTTGTTATAGAAACAAGGTATCGTTGTTTGTTTTTGTTGATGAGATGTGTTAATTTACTGCTCACTAAGGTAGGAAACTTTTATCATAGACTGCGAAGTAATAAATCATTGATTGTTTTTGAGTAACCTGGTATACATATCTGCTTCAACGCTTTCCTGAAATGCATAAAAGCATCCATTTATGGAACTCCTATAAAATTAGTCCATTTGAAAAAAATGCAAACAAAAATTTTTTTTCGGAAACCACAGTAGTTTTTTGCAAAAACTCGAAAACGTCCCGAGGTATGGTTGCTATTTATGAAATGCCCGAATGAAATATGAGCATCGTGGTCTTCCCACAAAATGGGGGGGGCAGAGAAATTTTTTTCAAAATGCCCGAAACTTTGTTTCACCCTGTATCATGGGTCCTGATCAATTTAGAAGAAGCTGTAAGGAACGGTTCGAAAGACAATGAGAAAGGCATTCAGAATCTGGGCGGCAATTTAAAATTCGTTCAATATTTTAGAAATTACGAGAAGTAAAAATTGATGCCAAATTTCACTATTAAGAGTGGGCAATAGGACTGGAAAAATGATGAATACAGCGCTCTCGCTCCTGACGCTTTATGGGAAAACAGTTTGGCATATAGTACATTTTTAAACGCCATCATATAGACAAAGGTTCAAATTAGGGCGGATACTATCTCATTTTTCAAAATTCGAAAAAAAAAAGTTTCAAAAATGTATTTGAATATAGCATTATTAGCTGACGAAAAAAAAATATTTATACTGCTTGTTCAAGTTTTTCAGATAGTATCCGCCCTAGAATGAAGCTTCAATATGCTACCAAAAAAAAATCAAATCATAATGTGGCTTGGTTTCTTCACAAAGCGTCAGGAGCCAATCCTCTGCAACCTCAAAAATAGGCATAAGTTCACGATGATATTTGCGCCCTCTGGTGAAAGTTATATCAGAAGAACATGGCAGTCGATATAGCCTTAGTTCGGGTGATTTGATGAAATATAGAAATAATGAAATTTAAAAAAAACCTATATAAATTCATGAAATTTCAAAAATAAACTAGTAGGTATTGATTACTTTGAGACAAAAATAATTTATTCTTCATACATTTTGAGAAGTATCATTTAATAGTTCGTTCGTCAATTAAGTGAAATCTATTGAATAATCTGATGCGTAATTTCACGCGAGTTCATTGCCTCAAGTGCCCATAATTTTGCTAAACGCAAAAAATCGTCTACAATAATAGAATACGTATAGGTGGTTCCCCGAACGGGTTGTTTTTTACACGGCGTAACATCCTGAGATGCAGGGTGATGCAGGATGCAGGTATACGTTTATGGTCAATGGAATAGAGAGCTTGAGCTTCTGAAATTTCTAGGTTTTACAATTTTGTATTTAGTGCGAGTGTAATATAATAGTGGTAGGTCATTAATGATTGGTGACATTATAAAAATGTTCAACATCCTTTGAATGTTTACGAATCCAGATAAAATGAATCAATGTTGAATATTTTCGTCATGTCAGTAGTTTGATCCGCTTTATGCGGAAACGTTGAACTTTGTATTTGGTGTGGAAATGTTTTTGTGTTTGTGACTATAAGTATTGAAAATGCCGCCTATAAAACCCAGGGCAGGTGATTATCGTAAGGGAGAAAAAACAAAATTACATGTGTCGACAAAAAGACGTAGCCGGACGTAGGATATCAAGGGGGAAGAAAAATATCAGTATAGGTCGAATGTTATGTTCATTCTCTTCACCCAGACACCCCTATTTTGGAATTCCAAATGGCACCCCCTACTTCGAGATATATAAAATTCAAAGTCTAGCAATAATAACCAACCAGATGAAAAACTATCTTAGTATTTGATCTATAAATATCGGGACATAATCATTGAATTATAAGTTATATTAGGTCAGTTATTACAGCCAAACATTTTGTCAATTTTCATTGAAGGTATCCTCAGATCAATTTTTGTGGAGTCACGACATGTGGAAACAATGGTTAATAAAACTCCGCCAGAGAATATGGATGTACTCAAACTGATATATTTCTCGAGAAGTAGACAAATAAATGGGAAAACGTTTCAAAAAATGTTTCAAGAATTCTAGAATAGGCTGTACTATTGAGCATCAAATATTGAAGCATATTTTCGAATAATTGCTTCAAATACCTCTGTCAAAGATCACTCGCTCTCTCTAACTTTTGTTGATCACCAACATGAATCATTGAAATAAATTATTATTCATCTGGTCGGATTGGTTTTTGTTTCCGCCTCAATTTGATGTATCTCAAGTTGCCATTTGGAATTTTATAAAGTAGAGGTGGCGGGGGTTTGAAGGGATGATCATAGCATTCAATAGATACTAGTATTTTATTTCCTCCTCAATATCTGAATCAACCTATTTTTCTCCATAATTGTTATCATCGCACATCATAAGGCTAAGTGGTAAGTTTTGAAATCAGAGCTCTGTACTATGAATCGAGGAAATCGCCTATTTTGTAATATTCTCAGCTGAAACTGAATTTCAAAATTTTCTCTTCCAATGAGGAATTGGTGAAATAATCAACAATATTTCAATTTGTGCTAACTTAATCCACATCATAACATTTTTAACAATCAGGCATTTGATGAAATGTTGCCGCATATCATCGAGTTCAACCCGTTTCTATAAAGAGCACCGTACAATGTTCTTGACCTCACACAATATACCTCTCAATTCACAAGTTCTTGCGCTACTGCTGCTGCTGTTTTATATTCCACTTCAGCTGTGCTCAAAGCAACATAGTATCTAATGCTTTTCAAAGAACCAAGATACTGATTTTTTTCGACGGCTATAACACAAAATTGCTTTCGTTTTACTATGTTTGATATCACAATGACTTCATTTTGTTATTATTTCACAAATTCTCATCTCTCATAAAATATAAAATTTCAAGCAATGACATCAACTCTGCTCTAGACTTCCCATTTCGAAACCATTCAATATTTTCAAAATTTTTTCGATTCATGCTCTAGCCAAAGGATCAAGCTAGGTTGGATACTATCTCATTTTTCGAAATTTTTTAAGAAAGAGTGGAAAAAACGTTCTCGAAAAGTGTTCAAAATTAGTCAATTTGGCAAATAAAAAAAAATACGTGTACATGAAATAACCAATTTCCAAATAGTATCCAACCTAGATCTATCTGTCAACAAAAAAAAGCAGCTCGAAATAGTGATCGATGTCAATACAGGACGTCAAGAGCCGTTGCTCTACATTCTCACAAATACGCACGATTTGGTCGATGATATTTGCGCCTACGTAAATCATCCTGTATAACAGAAAAGTTAACTTTAACTGACGATACAGTTGAAATTCAAGAAAATAATGATTAAAGCCTACTCATAGTATCTGATGAGTCATTTCGTTTGCTTCTTGGTTTTTTAAGATCGGATTTTCAAAAGCAGCGCTATGGCTTGGGGCTTTTAGCAATCATCAACATACAGATTTACTGCAGTAAATCTGTATATTATGTACTCTAATATTGGATAGATATCCTGTTGTCGATACTTCCCATATTACTTTTTGCTGATAGTATACACATTTTCCCGCGATTGGTCATCCAAATTTGAATCTTTCAGAATATTCACCGAAACCATAGACAATTGAAAGTTTGTGAAACCCATCGTGAACCCTCAAATCATCCGATGTTTATTGCATCTCCTCAGCCTGATAGTGTACCCATGATCGATAATATATCTCATGATCTATTTAAGAGAATACAAAAAATCCTAATTTTTCCACACCTCTCGAACAATGAAGAGTGTCGTAAATCTTCATAACATATGTAAACGTAATGGATATAACCAAGGATATAACACAATCAAGGTGTTATCAAGTTAGATTCTATGACCGGATTACCCGATGAATATAGGTAGAATACATTTTGCTAGGAATCTGCTAGGCAGATTATTGGCAATATAAATAAATATTCGGACGCGGTAATCACCCCGACTAATTGGCGAACCGGGTGAGTTGTCCTTTTCTAAAAAGGATGCTTGTTGATTTATGACTGTTTTGTAACCGCCCACTGCTATCTCTTCCTAACCCCCCCGGACCTCAGGTATAGGCGAGTTTTGTCGCGTTTCTCAACCTTAACGTTTCAATTGACGCCCAGTTCATATATTTTGTTATGAGTACATGTTATTTTTCAATTTCTTGCCTTTTTTTTTTTCTCTTTTATTATGTTGTTGTTGTATTGTGCGTGTATGAGAACTACTTATTTTTCGTTCTTTTTAATTTTCATATTTTGAAAATTTTTTCAAATCAATTTATCTTCAGTGATATGAGATTATTTCTAAAATATATACTCCATAGCTGAGAATAATTAATTCGATGTCAGGGTTTTTGCGTAATAACTTCTACTCGGGTATATATAATTTCTAACGTCATCAAAGTGTGTCCAGATTATCTTTTGACATAAACGCTGCTAAAATCTTCTGAGATACAGTAGAAGTGTATCATATCGATTTATAGGCAATGAAATTTACTACAAAAAAGTCAGTGACAGCATATATCCACAACTAATAGGTTTAACATGGGGGCCGTCTGGACTTTTTGAACTAGTATGTAATAATCTTTTGAATTACCATTTTACTTGAATTGAAATATCGGTTTGTTATTGGCTCTTGGGAATTTTGAAAAAAATCACAGTCGATCTAGATACTATAAGAAGCCTCTGCATGGTTGAATCATTTCTGTGAATTGGATATTGAAATTCCAGCAGCTGTTTGAAAAACGACAATTCTGATATGCTATATTTTGTTATATATATATACATTGTTCTGCACGTTCTTTTCATTATTACCATTTTTTAATCTTCCTTCAAGGCTGAATAACTATCAACATGTAATTCTCAGTTAATTTTAGAGAAATGTATCTACTTCCTTGTTTTCAGGTTATTTCCAGGCTGTTTCCTTTCAAGCGTGGACTTTGCCATGCCTATTGGGCACCGAATGTTTGGGCAATCTATAATATTGGTGACAAAATTGGATTTTATTTGGGTGAGATTCAGATTCATACTTAATAAAAACATTGTGTGGATATGACTTTGAGCTTTTTGTATTTATTTAACATTTCATTCCACTTTGAGCAATGTGTCTATTTCGTAGTTGAAGCTACGCCAGTCGGACAACCAGCCACTACCGTATGGTAATTTCAGTTTTGGAGTGTTTCTTTCCTTCTTTTAGAGTTGTATCAAATGAGCTTGGTCCTGCTATTGCCAGAAACACGTATTTTTCTCTCATAGAGTCTCATATCAGGTACGGCTATCAAATGAGCTTGGTCCTGCTATTGCCAGAAACACGTATTTTTCTCTCATAGAGTCTCATATCAGGTACGGCATAGCCTTCTGGGGTTTTTGTAGCCAAAATTTGTTGAATTCTGTCTTTATTCTACAGAAGAGAGCGATTCGCTATTTGTGTCGGGCTAAAGCAAGGGACCATTGTAGACCACTTTTTATCAGTCAACAAATTCTCACTCTCACCTGCCTCTTTATTTTGGAAACAGTCTGTTTGATCCACACCAGACACCATTCATGGAACAAAAATCCGGTGAATCATATTATGTCCACTAGAAATAACAGTCACCTGTCCCTTCCGATACCGAAGATGACTCGAACAAAAAATTCCATTATATATGAGAGCAAAAAAATCTACAATCACTTGTCAGAACAATTCAAAGGAACTGGCTGCATAAAAAAATTCAGAAAGGAGGTTAAAAAACGGAAAGTTTTGAAGTCATGTAAAATTTATTTCTATAATTTATTTCTTGATTTTTTTACTATTATGCTAGGTACCTAGCTGGCGTTGTATGTGATATAAATGTTATGCTTTTAGGGCTTTTTTGTAGTTGTTTTATACCCTTGTATTTGTGTTATTTATTAATTATATTTTATGTTCATATCTTTTATATCTTTGTACAAATAATTGGACATAGTGGATCTATCCACTTGCTAGCTACACGCTTTGTCAATAGGAAAAATGTTTCTTGGACAATGAAGCTCAGTTTTGATTTGATTTTCTACTCAGATGGCGTTGCTTTCATATTGCTTGCTTTCATATTGTCATATTGCCTCTGGGGGAATATAATGCCTACTTGAGTTTTGTTTGGCTAGGCTATGCTTAGTCGGCGGTTTTAGGACTGCTGGCTGGAGACTGCCCTGCACTGATGAGAGTCAAAGTGCTCGAAACCGGTCTGTAGGTGTCTAGCGTGGCCTGGCTAAATCGAAAACAATAGGCATTCAGGAAAGAATCACGTATCAGTATTCGTTTTTACGAGTCGATGCATAGATTTCGGGAGAATGTAATTCAATGTTCTGCGTGGTATAAGCCAGGAAAGTAGTTGTTTTTCTCTCGTAATCTATCATTATTGTTCATTATATGAACATTGTGTGAATGTGGCTTTGAGCTTTTCGTATTCATTTTCATACTTTCAAATGGGATAAAATAATATGATGTATTATGGTATAAAAATATAACTTACCAATATATTTAGTATTGAAATGGAAAATGAAATGTATATGAGAAGTATACTTGTATAAACTCTGATCTTGATGAGCTTGGAACTTCAAAAAAAATCATTTGTATCAGTGATATGGGAATTATATCTCTAACAAACAGGTTATATTTTTATATCATAATACATCATATTATTTTATCCGATTTGAGAGATGATGTCAATTCTCAATTTGAGAGGATTTTCATTTTTCATGCTCTCTTTTTGGATGTTCAACAGATATAATTCAATGTTCGACGTGGTAAATAGCCAGGAAAGTAGTTGTTTTCTGTTGAATATTTAGAATGATATTATGTGCATATCTTATCATGTGTGTTCAATAGATGTAATTCAATGTTCGTTGTGGCATATAGCCAGGAAAGCAGTTGTTCCCTGTTGAATATACCGAGAAAAAAGAAATTGATATTTTCATCACATAGAGAATGCGAATTCTCAATGTATTTTTTACCAAATAGAGGTGACATCCAACCCAGAAACAAAAATGCTAGGTCTAATTATAGATCATAAGCTCAATTGGAGTCCTCATATAGATTCATTATGTGATAAACTACGAAAGAACTGTTATGCAGATTTATGTCGAATCATTGTGGAATAGAGGTCCTGCTAAATCTGTATTATGCAACTATTGGCTGTCACCTGCGCTATGGAATCCTAAATTGGGGTATGAGCTCTTCTGTTGAAAGAGTATTCATTCTACAAAAACGCGCGGTCAGAATAATTGCTAATTTAGGATGGCGACAATCATGTAGAAACTCATTTAGAGAGCTGGAAATACTCACAGTTGCTGGTCTGTATATATATGAGATATGTCTCTACGTTTATAAGAATAGAGATAAATTTAGGGCAAACCAACAAGACCACCCTTATCCAACGAGAGCAAGAGGTTTGCTGATAGCAAACCCTCACCGAACCTTCCTTTATCAGAGGAGTCACCTCTACCTTGGACCCAAACTATTCAACAAGCTTGATGTTTCTATTAAGGATTCAAAGAATATCTCCATATTCAAAAGACAATTAAAAAAATATCTCATAGAAAGAAACTGCTACACCGTTGACGAGTTTTAGTAACTCACGATAATCAATAAATCACCCATCTTTATATGTCCAAATTAATAGGATTTTTCTTTCAGGCTCTCTGTTTTATAGAGGAAAGAAAATCCCAAATAATCAAGCAAAAAGTATATTATAATAAGTGGTGAAAGGCTCCTATCATTTTGAAATTTTACTTCATCAGATCGGTTTAGACATGGAGTATTTTTTTACTAGATTTATTTTCAAAAAAGGATGATTATTTTAAAATTAAATTGCAAAAACGGCCAAAAAATGGTATCTGTTGATTTTGCAGTGTATTCGCGATAGAAAATAAGCGTACTCTACCTGCCGGAGTTCTTGAAAGCTGTCAAAGCGGCATGTTTACTTTGTTTTCTCTGGTTCACATTTGTTTTTTGTTTGTGCTTATTGGTCATATCATCAAGACAAACCACTCAGAAGTGTTCGAGTTTCTGCCGTCAGGTGGGGCGACGTGCTATTTTCTATCGCGAATAGGACTGTTGTAGCATACAGTTAGATGTTGATGTTACCTTTGCTTTATAAATAATCTAATATTCTGGGAATATTCTAAGAATGTATAATATTGCTCCGATGTAGTGTCGAAGATCGGGGGCAATTCCACGACCCCAGAGATAGCGTCCATGACGGGCGGCCTCGTCCGAGAGACCGCCCATTCCTTCCTGCCGGACGTGCCGCCGGTGGCCACGATGGCGCTGACGGCGCTCTTCATGGCCCCCGCGATGGTCAAGTTGTTCCTGCTGGACAGGCGGGCCGCCCATTTCGTGCGGTGCTTGGTTGTGTGCGCGCTGACGTCATTTCTGTTTGGGTGGCACGTGCACGAGAAGGCCATCTTGATGGCTATCATCCCGCTCAGGTAATAGTATATTCTTAGTATATTACACACCGAGGTGGGAAGTGATTCATTCCTGGCGTGAGATTAGTTAGTTAACCGAGACGCAAAACGTCGAGGTTAGCTATAATTTCGAGACAAGAATGAAACTTCCTACCGAGGTTTGTATTAGTATATTACACACCGAGGTGGGAAGTGATTCATTCCTGTCGTGAGATTAGTTAGTTAACCCAAGGTTGGTAGAACTGATGACTATTTTGTAGAGGAAGGTTGCCTCGATCGCACCCCGCGAGTGACCTTGAGTAACTCATGACGTAATAGGCCCTTTCTTTTGCACGAAAAGTGTAGCACTCTCGTACACTTCGTGTATGATATGTACGCCGGCGATTGGCCGGCGCATGTATTGAGTTGACAGTTGTCAGTATTTTCGAATATTTCAACCATTTTGAACTTGAAAATGTAAAAATGATAATTTGTTTGGTCACTTCTTGTTAAAATTCGTACAAGTGTAATGAGACTAGTGAATTTAGTTTGTGTTTCCATTAATTTCCATAAGATGAGTCTATTCGTGAGAAATATGGATTCAATTTTGTGGACGTAATTTCATTTAATACCAAAATTTGGCGAATATGTTCTGCCCATTTCGATGCCGAGGATTTTGAACGGCACAAGCTGAATTGCTAAATCACACACCAAAGAGATGAAAACTCAAGGTAGGAATCCCATCAATAATATCAAATACAACAAGAGAAACACCATAAGTATTCAAGTTTGGAAAAATGATCAGAACCAGACCAGTTGTGAAAGTTGAGATTCTTGCTGAACGGGTAAAATCACAGTAGAGAGCTTACAGAGTAAGCTCTCTACTGTGGTAAAATGGACATCAGAAGATATCACACGTGTTTTCAAGTTGAGGTATTTGAGCAAGAGTACGTTACCCAACGAAGAGGAGCTATGTTTATTTGAGAGATTCCTTGAACTATCCTTCATTATAGGTTCACTTATAATAGTAGTGTTATTTTTCATTAATTTTGTTCAGAATCATATTTTGTTATTTTTTTATGCTCAAATACTTCGATCAATTGCTCTGTTTTTGACTACAATATAATCAAACAATGAAATACTATTTCCTCTTGTATTTTCTATAGGTATCTAGGAAAGTTTGTCAATTTTTCAGAATACAGAGTTATATTGATAAAATAAGTGATCTGTTGTGTACGAATATTGGTCCACTGCTACTACTCCTGGATCATCAGTTGATTATTCTTATATTTTCTGTAGTTTCTTGTTCACATTATCTGATTTGCAGGATATTTATAGGATGAGTAGGTTCATAATCAATGCATAAGTAATCACTAGCTCCATAATTATGCTCCATACCTCAAAACACACATACCTGGTACCACGACCTGGTAAATAGCCCCTGGAACAAAATTTCAGATAGGTATTCCTCTCTGTACTACTGATCCATCCAAAATTGCCTTCTCATTTCGAAGATTGAAGGTATTATACAGAAGTATATGTAAATATCCATATTTTATAATGGTACTTACTTATAATTATATACAATAAATTAATATAAATATGCTGAGCAGACCAAAAAGTTTGTATACTCTATTTGGTAAACATTTCATGACATGTCGCTTTAAGATTGACAACTTGTCGTCTTACTGCCTGTGACGTCACGAGTGACCGCTTCCCCCCTTGCCGCACTATCGATCGAGGCAACCTTCCTATACAAATTATAATCAGTTCTACCAACCTTGAGTTAACCGAGACGCAAAACGACGAGGTTAGGTATAATTTCGAGACAGGAATGAAACTTCCTACCGAGGTTTATTATGAATGTTTCTGATCACAGTAGGATTAGTAGGAAAGGGAATAAACATCAAATGGTCCCGATCTGCATGATTTCAACTATACATGTTACTGCCATTTTCTCTTCAAAATCATACTGAGTTTTCATCATTCATAATTAATCTAAACAAAACTTAATCTGACTTAATAAAATAATACCACAGATTAACAAACCTTACAGATGAGACACTCCGCCCCTTTTGTTTGATGTACCGACACATGTGTTTCGTGACCTCGTCCCTTTAAACTTTGCGCGTCACGGTTGCCAAATCAACGAATATCTTGATATCAGGGATTTACTTCATGAGAAATTCCTAAAGTTTACATTGAATTGATATCATGAAGTGGTTCAAATGTGTTTATTGATTGGCTCAGGCAGATTTAATATTACCTGACTCAGATCTGCACAAAATAATTGATAGGTATTAGGAACTGTAAAATTGTTACTTCAGAATGAAATTATTGTGGGGAATGAATTTTGAACTAATATAATATGCAGATAGGGCCTTGTAATTAGTTTATGAATATTTTTCTACAATATGAATCAATTCATTGAAAATATTCAACATCATATATATTTGATTCTCAAGTTTATTTTACAAAATTCGTGAAATAATACAATATGTAAGAAATATTTGAGAGGAATTAATTGAACACATTGGAGACTTGACAGGAGTGAGCTTTATTCATTCATTCATTTTTACTGGTATAAAATAAAAGTAAATAACAGAAAGACTATCTGATTTTTTTTTTATTAATACGTACAATAAATTTCAACAGCGTTTTCATGCATACAAAATTGAATAAGTGAAAAACATCACAAATTTGGAATTAGGATGTTCATAAGAATAAATAATCGAGGTCAATGCATATTAATACATTTTATTCAACATTAGAAGAGTCAAATGTCGAAAGGCCTCATTGATGGGCACCCAACTTCCGCATATTGTTTTTTTTTTCTTGATGAAAAAACTAATATAGGGGTGGTCCTTTTCGATGGATAACCCTGTACATGTACAGTGTACATACATAATGACTAAATTAATTCTCTTGTGTTATAGGAGTGAATTAGAATATTAGTGTTCTGAAATATAATCATTGTCTGAATCATGACACTCTACTTGAACAAAAGAGAGTGAAGTAGGTACCTGATCAATTGTTTATAACTTTTTGGAAAAGAGCAGTTTGGTAAGATGTTTCATCCTTTGGAAAACCATGTAACTTAATGTTCTCTGAAATATTTGAGGTGTTCTTGCAGTTTATATATACACAACTAAGTCTTCCACTAGGAACTGCTGCATATTTCTTTTTCTGCTCACTCATTATACTGTTTGAAGTTGAACAAGAAACAGCAACAAGCACAACTCAAAATACAATCTCAACTTCGATCATAACTCAATCCACTATCATTATTCACAGATCTTTGCACTACTTGCTCGAGACTGATATAGAAGTGATTCCATTTTGTGAATTCCTTTTATTGAGGTACAAGTAATTAGATGGCATTATTTAAACGATTAAAGTTGATTGGAACACATGCTATTGAAACAACATTTTAACTGAGTACCTTACCTGAATATAGAATTTATTCCCTTCTTGTCTATAAATTTCGGACATTAACAAACAAATTATCGATTTTGAAACTGATGAGCAAATAAAATGCACAATAAACAAACGCTTCTATCAGTCACAATGCTGGAATCGAGGCCGTCGGCCTCGTGCTAGTCGTGCTGGAATGTGGAAAACATGCCGAAAATCCCGAGCGCTTGCGCAGTAGTGAGACTGTCCCTTTAAACTTTGCGCTTTTGTCATCTCTCTCTAATTTTGTGCGCCTTGTCTGACTGTCTTATCTGTAAGGTTTGTTAATCTGTGATAATACTCTAAAAGGCTTCCAAAACCCACAAGTCCTCAAGTAAACAAACGTGTCTTTGGTGGTTTGTTTTTGTTTACCAACCAGACGGCCTACGACAGACGAGACTAACGTTAGGTTAGGTTAGAATAATTCTTCTTCTCTATTGATATTTGGACGATCGCGTTGTTGCCAGACTCACAAAAAAGTTTGGGTTTGAATAAAATTATGATCATTATAACGAATATTAGGATATTATTAGTGAAACTGAATCATCATCTTGCAAGGTATATAAGTATTCATTAAGTGATTATCAGGAACCAGGTGGCCGCATTGTCTTTTCCGAACGTAAATACTCGATGATTGGTGATATTGAATCTCATAAGGTAATTACTGGTTATAAATATGGCAACGATGGCTATTCTCTGTGCCAGCAGGCTGATGACGTCACGAAACCTGGCGTTTTTCGAATGTTCTGATTTTCAATTAATGAAAAAACGTAATTTAGATGATTTTAAATAACGACTGATAGCATCAAATACTATCCACACACGGACTGATCAATATAAAATAGGTATGTGGCGTGAATTCGATTAGAGTGTACAACCCCATTGAGGGCGAGAAGTAGGGGTGTGTAATATGACACTTCATATTACATACTTCAACCATCATATTTCGATCAAAATTAATAAATCTAAGGTGTGTAATGTGACACTTCCCAACCTTCAATGACGTTAGTAATGACAACCTTACATATATGGTTGTAAATAAATCATATAATTAACTTACCTCAATTACCGGTAAAAGTTTTTTTTTTTTTCGAAAACTGTTTTTGGTACCTACTTACGTATTTTCTTCTGAAAAAAACGAATTTCACAATGAAAATGTGAACAAACCGGCTCTGTTATCAAACAGCGCTAGACAAAATAGTGAGCGAAAAAATAGCGCGTGACAAAATAGCGCCAATAGAAATCAGCACCGCGACATAATAGCGCTGACTGAAATAGCGCGTCATAATCACAGAAGTAAAAGACCTAGAAGGCTAATGCAAGTGTGGGAAATCGCTGAAATCTGATACAACCAGTGTGCTTACGGCAATGGTGATCATGCGCACATTGTCGGCAACATTGACAGTTATATATACAAGGTGTTTTTGAAATAAGTGCACATATTCAGCACATCAATATGATACAGTCTAAGGAATATTCCCATGATATCAGATTTTTTCAAATTCTTCTAATCAACGAGAAATTTCATCCCAAAGATTGAAAAAAAATACGAGAAAAAAATCGAGTACGCCACTTTAAAACAATTCAAATGATTGAACTCCGCATGATTGTGCCTACCGCATGGAAATTTGAACAGAGGTGACGTCAGATTTGCTACAGTGTAGAACTTTGGGTGGAAAAACGGGTCTAACCTCAAATTCCATTTTGATCCCTAAATTTTTTTATTAGTGCCATTCTATAGTACACGTCGAGCTTTCTCAGTTTTTGAAATATTTGCACTTATTTCAATGCCACCCTGTATAATTAACTCACCTCGATTACCGGTAAAAGTGCACTTATCACGCAATGGTTTTTTTTCGAAAAATTTTGGTACCTACGTATTTTCGTCTGAAAAACACGAATTTCAGAATGAAAATGTGAACAAACCGCTATTTATCGAGATATTTTAAGAAAAAGTTCGAAATTTCACCTTCTTTTGCCAACCATCTTGGATATTCATTGTTTGGGCGAGAGAGAAGCTTCAGTGGACTGTATTTGAATTTGTATGAAAATATAGGTAATTATTTGCAAATTGCGGCAGATGACCGTCGTTGTCAGGCACCTGATGTCGATTTTTCTCAGCTATAATAGCCCTCACTATCCACACTATCGAGTCTACACATTCACGGTATGCACCGACACTTGCATTAAAGCTAGTAAGAAGAAATTTTGGGAATAAATCCGATAACTTAGGATTCCCGAATATATTCGTGTGTCCAAGCGCGCTTTTCACGTTATCAAAAGTGTCTCATTTTTTGAGTCTCTTTTGCATCTCTTGGAGAGAGACTTGCACAGAAACCTTTCGTTGCTTATTGATGCGCGAGGTGAATTACTGTACAGAGCGATAAGATTCTCTCATGCCAAATTTATATTTTTTATATTTATACTATAATTATTTCAATTACCGGAAGCTAACAAAAAATAAATCAATAAATTCTGTGGGGACAGAACATTCATTAAGAACTACTTGTCCTTTTTCCATTACTGGACACTTTATATACTCACATTGTACTTCAATAACACATTTTATTTCCTAAAAAACACTGATCGACGGTGACACTTCACCTACAGCACTCTTTAACAATGTTTTTTTTTTCAGTATCTTATCAATCATGGAATCAAATGATGCTAGAATATTCCTCATTTTATCAACAGTTGGACATTACTCACTATTCCCCTTATTATTTCCAACGTCTTTGTTATTAGTTAAAGTATTTCTACTCCTTCTATACACACTGTATGCGTTTCATAGTCTCTTCAAGCTATACCCTTTGTCAATTTGTAAATATTCGTTGCCATTACTCAACCCGTTCGAGAGTATGTATTTACTTGGCTTAATTGGAGTATTTTTGTATGAAAATGTGGTACATAGTATATTAGGTTTTGACAAAAGATTTCCATTTTTACCTCTGATGATAACCTCAGTGTATTGTGCTGTAGGAGTCATATATTGTTGGATTAATTACTATATTTATTTCTTGAAATACAATGGTATGCATGTAAAAAGTAAAATCAACAAGAATAAAAGTTTGTAATTAATAACTGTGTGTTTCTACTCCTGAATTACAATATGTTAATTAGATATCTGCTACTGATTCTTTGATATTGTTCATTTTAACATGGATCAATATGAAACAAAACAAATATTTTTCATAAAAAAAAAGAAATGATCAAGTGGTCTCTTTCTACATAAATTCTTGAGTTGTTTGACTTTAAATTTCAATTCTGTTCTCTTGTTCTCCAGATACTTCTAATAGGCCATCCACCGTGGATCACCCTGTATATGAGTTGCATATTTGGATGGAAAATAGTTGAGTTATTGACGATCAAAATTTACCATAATCATAAAATCATTTGATGGAAAGATGCGTGATATTTCTGTAGAATTTTCATGCCCTCAAATTATAGAGGGTGTCTAGAATATATTTTTCAATTCAGAATTTTCGGAAATGATTTTTCTCGAGTTTTTCAAATGGAACACCCCATATATTTTAGGCCATTTGGTGTAATATCGAAACATGAACATCTGTTATATCAACATCCATATTGATTTAAAAGAAATACAGAGTGTATCCAGATTCAGAAAAAGAAGTGAAAGAGTTCTTGGTTGTGAGGGCCTATTATACTACAGAGGAATTTTACGAAGATCAATTTAGCTGAGTTTTTATTAATCTGATCAAGTAGGATACAACTTTTTGGACTTTCCATTTTAGTTCAAATCATTAGCTGTTAATGTATTTTACCTGACCTTACCAATATTTATACTAAATTTACATTTTACGCCCATTACACACTGTGCAATGTATATATATATAAATATATTTATTTTAATGATGTGTCGACAAAAATTTTTTATTTTTATTTGTATTATTGATTGACTATCTTGTGTATTGTCCAAAAAACTGTTTTCAACATTTGTGTGTATATTGGAACTATCAACTTTTAAATTTAAATTTAGGATTCCAGACTTTGTCAATAAGATATGTATCTATCTTCAGACAATAGAGTATTTTGATGATGATATTCGTAACAATTTTTGAATTATTAAACTTTGATAATTCCAGGTTGACCATTTTCATGGATACACATTCTTATCTGTCATTAGAACATCAAAAGTACAATCAATAAATCAGTAAACCAGTTTTTTTATTGAAAGAATCCAAACCGGAATTGAAGCAAACATCAGAAATAGGTCATATGCTAGTAATTTAGAAAGTAAAAAAAGAAAAAAATTCCACATACAAAATATCCCATAAATTCATAGAACCAAAACAAAACCAGGATGGTGATTTACAATTATGCAAAATGGAAATTTTGTTCTCTTTTCTTTGTGAATAACTAGCATATGAATTATTTCTATTTGCTTTGATTCTGGTATAAATTCTTTCAATGAAAAAACAAATCTACTGAATTATTGATTGGACTCATGATGTTTTAATAACAGATGAGAATGTGTATTGATGAAAATGGCCAACCTATAATTTTCGAACTTCAATAATTCAAAAATGGATGTTCGTGTTTCGATTTTACACCAAATGGCTTAAAAATATATGGAGTGTTTCATTTGAAAAACTCGAGAAATATATTTTCCAAAAGTTCCAAATTGAAAAAACATTCTAAGCCACCCGCCTGTATAATTTGAGGGCATGAAAATTCTACAGAAATATCACCCATCTTTTCATCAAATGATATCATGATTATTATCTCTTAAACTTCATAATTGTGATTACAGTGATTTTTTTGGTATGGATCTGCAGATGACATAATTTCGACAAAAAAATTAATAACTTTGAAATGATCCTGAAATAGTCACAGGAATGCTTCAAACAATCTGCTAATATAAAGGGCATTCCATTTAAAAAAAGTGATTCTGACCCTCTAGATTTTTTGCGATGCCCCCTGTATATGCGGCAATAATTTCTTGTTACGGACCTTGTTGTCTCATTGACATTCGTTTTTGAATCAAGTCATCATAGAACTCGAGCAATCGAGCTCCGACGCACTAATGCCCCACCCTGTATAGGTATTATACCGCATTATGAACCTTCACTTCATCATCTAATGTAAGTTGAATATAGTGGGCTTTGAACTAACGTTTATATATTGTTCAAGTCCCATGGAAATGTCACAGTATTGTTTATTATGAAATTGAAAATTGACAGTTTCAATGAAAGATTCGGTATTTTGGTAAACTTTGATAATCAATGACTCAATTATTTTTCATCCAAATATGCAACAATATATTTTTGAACACCCTATATATTTTCTGACATGTCGATATATGTTCCATTGAAAAAATCAAAGTTAATGTTTTTTCCGGAAAAAAGAAATGACCCTGTATACGAAGCAAATTCACGAAATAAAAGTTTGGATCGTTTCAAACAACTTTTTAATTCAATATTTTTTCACATCTCTGAAAACAAAAGAGTTAAGGGGGGGTTCCATTTTAAGAGACGCACCCTGTACAGGCACTGGGGATGTTGGAATATGTTGAAATTTGAAATGAATTTTGGTTTCAATTTCATTATTTATTGGTCATAGATAATAGTATTTCAGTTGGCAACACTAAACAAGTAACCAGCAACTAATCACACTGGACTTCACCTTTTTCCGCTATTTCTTAATTTTGAAATATTATGGATTTCAATAAGACCAGATTGAGGATATCAAAATGATTTATTAAATTTCCCTCTTATCCTTAAAAAACATTATTAAATTAATATAAAGCAAATTGAACTTCAACTTAATCCTTCTCAGCTATAGCAGTAAGATGTCTGTCAATTTCCTGCTCGGTAAGTTTCCTAAACTTCGGTTGATCCTTGGAAACCAGCCCCACCTCCAATTCGGAAGGCTTGAAATCAACAGAAAGAACACTAGAAAGGCAACTTATGGCGAGCTGAACGACATCGTCATGCTGCAAATCCTGTTTCTTCTTCAGCTTCTTCTCAAGGTAGCTGTTGGCTTCCGTCTGTTTGGCACCTACGCTTACGGCTCTGTAACCGCAGTAGTAACCAGCAGGATCAGCCTTGTAGACACATGGACCTAGCTCAGCGTCGTAGCCAATAAGAACCATTGAACAACCTGTTGGTAAAAACAAATCAGTCAAGAACAATACAATAAAGTCCTATCTCTTTTCATCTACACAAAGGTTCAAACATCACATAAACAAAATTGAGTGGTCAGAATAATACTAATTGGATGACCCAAATCGTCTGTCAAAATGTTTGTGGGATAACGTGACATATGCCAAAAATGGCCAACAAATAGTGTGGAAATATAATTTGCCTAACGAACCTAAAGAAGTTATCTATAGGAGTAACCAGAGTCCTGTATTTTTGAAGTCCAATAAATAGTCTGGAAATCAGTGGCGGCCCTTCAGAGGAGGCAACGGAGGCTGAGCCTCCTCAGAGATTCTCCTTAAACTGATATTATCTATACTTTCTCATTGAAAGGACACCAAAATACATGGATTTCGATTTTATTTCCTGTCTTTAGGTGCATATTTTTGAATTGGCAACAGTGCTTGCCCACGCATCACACGTTGAAGTCTGCAAATCACGCGTAAAATATTCAACTTGGCAACATCTATAGGAGGCTAGACTCCTTCGCAACTCACGCGCGCAATGCAAATGCCCGAATACGCCCGAATAGCACGTGTTTGTCGTGTCGCGTAGCGAATTGCGGACAATCCAGCGAGTGCATTGTTTATGTTTATGTTAGGTTAATGGTTAGGGGCTCTATAAATTTCTGAAAAATGAGTGTTTTAAACGATTGCGATTTAGTGGAATACTTTTTGGTGAATCCATTCAGTGCTTTGTCTTATGAAGATAAATTGATTGTGAAAAACAAACGTCCGACACCGGAATAAAAAAATCTGATTGCAACAGGTAGCAAACAAAATCGTTCGTTCAATTATTCTGATAATTATAAAAAATATATCTGGTTGACTGGATCTGAGGTAAGGAATAAGCTATTTTGTTGGTACTGCCTATTATTTTCAACCGATAAGTCATCATGTTGGGGGCGAATAGGATATAATGATTTGAAAAATTTGCCTCGCGGATTGGATAGACACTGCAAATCACAGGAACACATATCTTCAAGTATTGAGTTCAGGTTAACTGGGAAATAAAAACGAATTATAAATTCACACAGGGATCAGGCCTGGGACGAGATTATTATGCGATTTATAAAAGTCGAGGAAATTGCCAGGTGACGAGTCACCCCCAATGTCCGAGACGGTGTTAAACCGCTAATAATCGAGTTCCATTCAAAGCTTCATCGTATCATTGACAACGGCGATGCGAAAATAATATGAACAAGATTTTAAGTCATTTTATTTTGGCATTTCGAAAAGTGATCATTGAAATCATGCAAGATTTTGATATTCCTGACGATATATCAGCTGCAGCCAACACTATAAGGTTGAACTTGCTTTCGGACAAATCTAAAATCCATTATAAAAAAAAATATCGGCAGTTTTGTGAGTGGCGAAACAAAGTACATATTCAAGGTGCTGAAAAAACGGTATTGCCGGCGTTATGTGCGACTTTAGAACTGAAGGAAGGAGTGAAAATCGACAAATACGGCACCTTAATACGTTTCATCAAGAAGAAGAACAAGTCAACTAGAGTCACTGGATGGTATTAGTTTGATAACAGTTCGGACACAGCTGAACTTTTGTCCTTTTCTATTTTCTATAATACAATGGTTTAAGTGAATAAAAGAATAAGACATATATTCTACTCTTTGTCTTTTCAATTTCCCTAGCAGCGCCTGATTGTCAGATACGATTTTAGAGGTTATATTTTCTGTCAAATCAATCATAGCCGTAGATGGACAATGGATATAGGGTACAAACACCCACTTCAATTCATAGTGATACCTACACTTCTAGCAGAGCAAGATTTATATAAATGAAAAAAATGCATGTAACAACATTTTAATATCAGAGAATATATACATATGGATAAACTTATAGCTATAATTCCTTATTGTATGTTAAACTGTACTCCAGTGAAGTATTCCTGAGACAATTTTAAGAAATAAAGTCTATATAAGCTTGTGTCTGGAAATGCTTCATTTTGGAGATACAGTGTGTTGAAATACAGAGAACAAATCATTTTTCGATAAAGATGTCATGGGAAAAAAATATTGACGAGACCTACCAAATACTTGGTTTTGTTAAGTTCTCAGCAACTTCACTTAGCGCCCTAGGAGCTAAGTAACATGGATCGATATCTCCAAAAAGATAACCTCCAGCGTAATTAAGGCCCTTATAATAATTCCCTTGATACATAAATATCTATTAACTTTTCACTGTTGAATTTTCAATTCGCGGTCAGCACCAAAAACGCCATTCAATAATATATCACGTTGTAGTTTACTTGCTTTTCTGAGTTTCGTTTTCAAATTTTCAATTTCATAATGTAATTTTGCGATCATTTTCCCTTTTTCCATGATTATTTTGTTTTATATTTTGTGTGATGATAATAATGGAATTTTGTTCTTGAAATTGTTTGCTTTGTAAATTGATGGAACAGCAGATTCTCTCAAACAGATTTTGAAATCTTCTGTTTGAAAATGGGCCTAAAATATAGATTCATTCCAATCAGATGCTGTTATAAGAAGTGAATTTCAATGAGTAAGTACCTCACAAATTCCGCTCGTCTTCAAATTGATTTTCCGCCCAGGCCGTTTCATATCTTCCGCGAATGCTTGATATTTGATTTGGAAAATCGAATAAATGATATCCATATGTTTCATAATTGGCACAATTTATTACACAGCAAGTGATTTCCATAGCTGCTTTTATCTCGAAAGTATAATAAAAATGAAATTTTATTTCAATTCTGACGTTTATAAAATGAATTGTCAAATTCAAACAATTTTGAATGAAAAATCGCGGGACGACCATGATGCTCTTGTCACAATGCAAGGTGTGTAACCTGGTAAATCTAAACATTCAAAAACCCTAACCGTTGTCATTTCTGTGTCCGAACTCTTATCAAACTAATACCATCCAGTGATAAAGTCAACGAGTTTGTGCGTTCTGCCAGACGAGGAGTTTTTAATGATGAAAATGAATTTTTTAATTGGAATTGGAGGAGCCTGTTGACCCAATGAGAAGATGACCACGAAAGATGCTGACGTTTTAGAGGACAAGCTGATTGCTACTATTCCTGACTCAAAAACATACAAGAATCGGATCTTCGCTGTGGTATCATTCATTGACATAATATTGATATAACTACACAAATGAGTATTATGAGTATTATGTGCCTTCGGTGTTACGCCACTGTTAGGGTTCCAAATAATAATATATCTGCACTCGTTCAATGAAGGGGTACAGAAAATTGACATTCCATCTCTGTTCAATGATAATAATAATAATGTTTATTCAAGAAAAATTTAAATTAAAATATGTAATGTGTAACAATTAACGTGTGACATGTAGAAGGCCGGCGTACCTCAGTGCTTCGATGCTTCAATATCGATTCACGTCGAGGTATCGATCGTGGGTTCGAGACCCACGAACGCAGACTTTTTCTGATGGCCTAAGAAAGTGTTTGGGATCACACGTTAAAAGGTAAGGCCCCCGTCATTCCTTGCTCGCACAAGTCTTTCGAAGACTTCTGAGGGTTGCTCGTAAGGGGGCAACCGAATGACGGATAGAGCAATTTTAGCAATTTTTTTTAGAAATATTTTATAGTAATAGTATAGTAATAGTATAGTAATAGTATAGTAATAGTATAGTAATAGTATAGTAATAGTATAGTAATAGTATAGTAATAGTATAGTAATAGTATAGTAATAGTATAGTAATAGTATAGTAATAGTATAGTAATAGTATAGTAATAGTATAGTAATAGTATAGTAATAGTATAGTAATAGTATAGTAATAGTATAGTAATAGTATAGTAATAGTATAGTAATAGTATAGTAATAGTATAGTAATAGTATAGTAATAGTATAGTAATAGTATAGTAATAGTATCATAGATTCAAGATGGCGGCAAGTGGTGGTTCGTCGGAAGAACCAGTCTCCGAGAGAAATTGTAATTACTGTAATAGAGGTGTGAAAGGAAATACAAGGTGCATCAAATGTGACAAGAAATATCATCCTGCATGTGCTGTACGTGTTAATGGGTTGAAAATTGTGGGTGCTGATATGTTAACCTGCCCGTCCTGTTCTGATGATCAAATCGAAGATGACTTACAAGTCGCAAAACAACTAGTGACTCTCAAGGAAAATAATAAGCTTTTAACTCATCTGCTATTACAAATGCAGGAGAATAAGGATTTAATGCAAGATAAAATCTGGGCCCTAGAAGATAGAATCCATCAATATGAAGATATCATTACTAAATCAAATGAAAAAGTAAGTCATCGTACAGAAAAAACGTTCGCTGATATCACCAAAACCAGTAACTGTAAAAACGATCAAGGTCATGCCTGTTGTCAAGCTCATGGAAATCGAAATAGTGAGAAGCTAGGTCTAGTAGGCACACAAAAGCTAGTATCCTCAGAGACTGGTAGTGTGCAGGTTAGGCCCATAACACCAAGAAAAGCTGAAGAACAAAAAGAAGAAGAAGCAATCAGGGTCAAATCCACTAAGGTTAAGGATTCCCATGACAACAAAAATGACAAAATAAATAGAGACAGAACTCGAACTCAAAATCATGTTCAAACTCAACAATACATTAAACCAAGTGATATAAATTCTGCAATCAAATCAGCAAACGAAGCAGCCATAATGAGAGAAATTCTAGAACTGGGAAATAACCAACCTCCCTCTGATGAAAGTACAAAGGATGGAGGAAACTGGGAAACCAGAAGAACAAAGAAACGTCGAAGATTCATAATAGGAGGAAATGAGGAAAATACTGGAATTGAGGCAGTTCCTAAATATTCTACCCTACATGTGACAAGGCTGAAGCCAGACACAAAGCCAGAAGACCTGGAAAAATTATTGAAGGAGCGATTCCCTGAGGTTCGCTGTGAACAGCATGCATCAAAACGACCTGATCTATATGCAACTGTTAAAGTAACAATCAGGAAAGAACACTACAGAGAGGCGTG